CGCTGACGCCGTACTTGACGACCTGGACGTCCTCGAGGTGGTCGCGCGGCGCGAAACCCTGGAAGTCGACGGCGCGCTGTTCGATGCACGAAACGACGGGATCGTCAGGCACGACCGCCGACATGCTGCTGCGGATCTCACGGTCGTACGTCTCCAGCGCATAGCCCTTTGACACGGGCGACTGCCGATAGTACGGCGTGGCGAGATGTAGTAGGTACAAGGTCTCGGTCGGCGTGAGGTAGTCGGCGATGTAGATTATAAGAGGGTCACTGCTGAAGATGTGCGGGCTAATAGTGTGGGCGGGGCAGGCGGCGGCGTATCGCTCCGCCACGGCGGTGAAAGTGTTGTTGGGAGAGGTGGTGGTTGAAAAGGAAGGAATGGGGATCTCGATGTTGTGGATATTGAACTTGGAGCTGATGTTCTGCCATTGCAGAAAGCCGAAGGGGAGCAGCGGGAGCAGAATTGCTGCTACGGCTGGCATCTTAGACGACTTGGCTCTGGTTGGAGAGGCCATTGAGATGGCTTGTGTAGAGGTAAGAGGTTCAATGAATTTAAGGATGAAGTCCGAGTTTGGCGAAGGCTGAAGGGGAGCTGGGTGTATATCCTGGTGGCTCTCCACGACTCCTTGCACGTGTGAGCCTAATTTTGAAGCATACACATGCGAGGATGTGCATCACCCATGAACGCAGGGACACCTTTGGGGATCGACAGCTGTGGAGACTGCAGGGTTCGTAGGCTTGGGGGCGGAGGGCTGACCCGCGAATCCTTCAGCTGCCCATTCCGGTAGTCCGGAGTTGATGATTAGGCTTCCTTGCGGAGGAATACAAGCAAGCCACTACTAGTCAGTATCAGCGCTGCTGTTAGAGACGCATCCATTCTGATCCTGCAAGCCCAACGCTGGCTCCCTAGCCCGGCCTTTCTATTTTAGTAATCGTGCATGAAGTAGCAACGCAAGTCAAGTCGTACGCTCCGCCACGGTGCACAGCATCTATTTTGGGTAATGGTTCCATCTCCTATGGTCGTTTGTCTCTCATGCCCAATTGACATTCTTCGCTCACAGACTTCCCTCTTACATCTTGTTTACAATGTACAAGCTCAAGGCGACACAAGGCCGCGACTCCTCGGAAGAGCAGCTCTCAAGCGCATCCACCAGCACGGAGGACGACAAGCAGTTCCTGCTCGATGAGTCTCGTGGTTTCAAAATGCCAAAGAGAAGTCGCGGACGGGTGAGTTGGAAGGCTGCAGCTGTGGCATTCAACGTACTCTTCTTCATAGGCGGCTTGTCTATCTGGGGGCATGTTGTCGTGCTTCTGAAGAGCCTGCGCTGCGACACCAAGCCCGAGACGGACCATTTCGAGCCAGACTGTAAGGCTACACAGATCGGATATCAGGAATCTACTAATAAACGGTAGTGCTCTACAACAGCGCCGTCACCTTCCAGCCGCACGCGTACATGGGCGGTGCCCCCAGCAACGCAACAGACGAGATGTGGCAGCGGCTGTCACCGCCGGGCGACGGCATCGTCGAGGTGCCCAACGAGTTTACAACCAACTTGGCCGAGTCTCTCCCGGCACCCAACAACCCGGAGACGCACAAGGTGTACGGAGTGTCCATGTTCCACCAGCTGCATTGCCTGAACTTTCTGCGGTTCGCGTACTACCCGGAGGCGGTGACGGACATGACGGCCGAGGAGGTCGTGTTCCACCGCGACCACTGCCTCGACTACATCCGCCAGGCCATCATGTGCGCCGGCGACGCCACCTTCGAGCCGCTGACCAAGGTCGGCATCAACGGCATGGGCGCGACGCATCAGTGCCGCGACTTCGAGAGGATGTTCAGCTGGGCCTACGCGCACCGCTCTGACAAGAAGCACTTCGCGGGCTACAAGGGCGGCAAGGTCACCCACACGCCGGGGCACAGAAACGACTTTGAAGAATAGGGCGGTCTTCACCATTGAGTTATTATATCGTAGCGAATCAGCGGATAGACATTGAATGTAACCTCATCGAGCAATCGACCGTGCATGACTCGAGCAAAATGCACATAAAAAGCACCACTCCCCAATCCCCAATTCAAATCACTGCACATCTCGAAGCACTAAAAATGACAGACGCCAACTTCCACATCACCACCCCGCGCCTCTACCTCACCCGCCTCCTCCCCACCAACCTCTCCCACTGCGCCTTCATCGTCGCCCTCTACAACACACCCGAATTCATCGCCTCCATCGGCGGCAAGCCGACTTCCATCACCACCCCGGAAGCCGCGCGCAAACTCATCGAGAACCGCTTCGACGCCGAGCACGCCCGCAACGGATACGGCACCTACCTGGTCTCGCTCAAGCCACCCACCGCCGACGGGACAGACGAAGAAGAAAACAGGGCCAGCAGCACGCCCATCGGCACCGTGTCGCTCTCGCGCGGACTCCCACCAGACGCGTACGCTGCACCGGACCTGGGCTTCGCGATCCTGCCAGATTACACGCGGAAGGGCTATGCGCGGGAAGCCGCTGCCGGGCTGCTGGAATGGGCGGGGCGTGAGCGCGGCGTCAGCGCCGTGCTCGGGCTGTTCGACCCGGCCAACGAGGCGTCCAAGGGCGTATTCAGGAGTCTCGGGTTCGAGGATCGCGGGAAGCGGAAGCTGCGGGTGTTTGGGGGCGTGGAGGGGGCGGTGTGGGCGCGCAGCGGGATGGAGGGGGATTTGGGAGTTTATGGGCTTTGAGCGTCTGCATCCATCGCGGCAGAAAATACTGTAGTTCTGAACAGGAAAATAAATGAATTTTGGGCATCTCTCTGTCTACTTGTGCTGCTGCCATGTCTCGTTGTACTTTGCCTCCTGCTCGATCTGGAACTGGCGCAGGCGGTCGAAGTCGATGCAGTCGTGCTCGACGCCCCAGCCCGTCACCGACGTCGCGTGGCCCTTGCCGACGTTGATCGGGCTGCTGCCCTCGATGATCAGGTCGCCGCCGCATGAGATGCCCTGCCGCAGGTACTCGAAGCAGTGTTCCACGTGCACCTTCCACTTGAACGCGTCCGGGTCCGCCGACGTGTCGACCCGCTTCTTCTCCTGGTAGTACTGGAAGCGGATCATGTTCTGAGAGCAAGTCAGTACCTCTCTCCTTTGTTTTCTAAGGAATTCCTACCAAACAATGCAGCTGATGCAAGATTGAAATGACGTAGAAGTCGGTGGGCTTGGGGCTGGGCGTGTTTGGGTGGTCGTATGGCGCAACGATGCCCTCCGGCAGGCTCCATTGTTGCGGGTTCTCAATCCAGACAGCGTCGTGGCCTAAGAAATTTAGAGGCGGGTTCCTAATATGGTTCCCAATGTCGCCTGTGGGGAAATTTACCTGCAACAAGCTTGTCCCAGTAGTGGTTCACCTCAGGCCCGTCGCCCATGTAGCGCGGGTCCTTGTCGAAGACCTTCTTCACCGGATTGAAGACCTCTCTCGGGATGGGCGTGTGGGAGTAGACATGCAACAATGTGCTTTCGTTTTCTTCATGTTCTATTGCTTGCGTGCGGTAGTCGTGAACCGCCGTTGCAGCCCATCCCAGAGCAAGAACGAAAATGCAGATGTAGTGCCAGACGGTACGACGCGCAATTCTAGGTTCATCTTGGGAGCTCTGGGCGGCTTCCTCATCCAAAGCAACCTTCTGATACTCTCTTTTGGCACTGACGACGCCGTCCAGCATGATGGTAACGATAAAAGTGATTTTTTGCAGCGAGCGAGAACGGGGGAGCAGAGATACCTGAGAGTTTCCGCCCTTGAAGCAGCAGCTTGCGAGCTTGGGGGCGAACATGAGAGCATAATCCTCCGCGGAG